GCCGCCCCGCGCGCCTCTGGGGTTTCCCCTCCGCCCTGCACGCCGGGGCCAGAGGCGCCCGCGGCGGCGAGAAGGCAAAAGAGAGGGAAGCGCGATTACATTCCACCGCGCGCCCTGGGGAGCCCCCGGGAGCCCCCCGCTACCTGCGCCCCCGAGGAGGGCGCCGCGGCTCCGCGCCTCGGACTCGGGGGTCTCCCGCGGCCTCCCCGCCCGCCCGCGCGAGGTCCCGGGGCTCGGCCTCCAACGGGGCCCTCCACTCCCAGCGCCCCCCACCCCTACCGAGCGCTTCCCTGCGCCCCCGGAACGCGGCCGCGACATTTCTGGGCCCTCCAAAAGCAAGCTTTGCTCTCTGGGCCGCCAACGCTCGGGTGGTGGCTTTTCTGGGACATTCGTTCCAGAGACCTCATGCTCAGCAAGCCCCTAGGGCTCCCCCAGAGAGGAGCCAGCTGTGGGGGGGGGCCCTCCAGAGAGAAGCCGGGGTCTGGGCGAGTCCCTCGCTCAGGCTGGGCTTCCTGACCTTCAGGCAGGCCGGGGCACTGGCCATCCAGCCCCCTGCGCCTCAGCTTGCCTGGCTCCCCAGAGTACAGAGGATTTTTCTGGGGCACTCAGGCATCATGCTCAGGACAAATGGGTCCCCCCATAATGGTGGACATTGACGGCAGGGTCCCCCAAGCTACCGCCCCTGCTCTGACTCCCCACACTGCAGCCCTGTCCCTGGTTCTCCAAAGTTTGGGGCATTATCCTTATCCTCTGAGTTCCACAAATTTATTGGCACCTATCTAGGTTCCCTAAATTTTGCACAAATAATTCCAGGTCCCCCCAATACACAGAGTAATCTCCCCAAGCCACAGCGCCTGCCGTGACTTGCCGTCCCTCCCCCCAAATCGGGACACTTCACCCCGGCTGCCAAGCCCTTTTGGAAACCCGTAAGCTGTCTACGCTCTGACTCCAAGTTCTTCCAAAGTGAGGGTGTGATTTCTGGTCCCCAAAACCTTACTGAGCAATTGTTTCTCTGGGCCACGTAGACACAGGGCATTCATTTCCGGTTTCTCCAAGCTTCCGGCCGCTCTCCAGGTTCCTTCAACTTTAGACACTGCCACCCAGGGCCCCCCCCAACCCAGAGCAATTAACCTGGATGCCCAGTTGGGATGGGGGCGTCCCGGTTTCTCAAACCACACAAGACCCCCCAGGTCTCTGGGTCCCACCACACACAAAGCAAACCCTCGCACCAAGCCGTGTCCTGCTACACCAACAGGCTTGGCCGGGCACCCCCAGCCGCCAGCTTCCCCGAGCATTTTCCTCTGCATCACAACAGTGTGAAGATTCCAAAGCCCCCGGGGCCCCACGAGCTGACTGACGAGAATTCAGGAAATTCAGACACTGACTTGAAATCTCGGGATGACACTGGACCCCGTGCCCAGTCCTCCCTCTGCCCCCCACCCCGTATTTGGACACACTGAGCTCCCTCCACCGTTGACCGCCCCGTCTCCGCCACCCCCAGCAATTCAGTGTCATCTGGGTCACAGAAATCTCGGGCATCAAAGCACCCAGGGCTGGTGACATTTCCCGGGTTCCCACGTCCTGCACAACCCCTGCTCCCCAGACTCAGCCTGGCTCCCCAGGGCCTGCCCACGTAGGAACACTTCGCCTTTCTCCTAAAACCTCGCTCACGGCCCCCATCGCCCCGAGGCCCTGAGCAGCTTCCCTAGCTCCCCAGGCTCAAAACTTACTTTCCTGGGGCCTCCGAGCCGAGGTGCTGCGTCCCAGATCCACGGCAAACTGAGGGTTTTCTGCCTCCAACAAGAACTGAATTTCTTTAGCACCTTGATTTATGGGTCTCGGACTTCAGAACTTCTGCCCTGAGTTCCCCTAAATTTAATCAACTTTCCATGGGTGCCCCCAAATGAAAATGTTGAAGGACGGAAAAATACTCCAGGATCCCGGAACCCTCAGGAATCTCGGGCCTGTGTCTTACAAGCTCCCGCTCAGCCAGCCAGGGCCCCCGAAATTCAGACACTGACCTCCACCGGGCAATTTCCACCGATCCCCAACACTTGGGCTGTTTTATAAGGGTTCACCAAATGCAGACAGCGCCCAGCCAAATGCTAGGATTTTTTTTTTTCTTGTCCACCCAATATACACTAAGTGAAATCAATTTTTAAAAATTAAAATGTCAGTAGACTTTGCTTTTCTGCCTTCCTCAGATGTACAGATCGCGCACCCCAGGTTCCCCAAATTTAGACCCAGGATCTAGAGTCTCGAAAGGTGATGGAGAGTTGCCTGGAAGTCAGTTGGGGAGGTCACTTTTCTGGGGTGCTGCATTCCCTCAGCTCCACTTTCCTCACGCACTGAGAGTTGCCTCGGCCCCCCGAGTGTGTCCTTATTTTTCTCCCCTCGCCTTTACACAATGTGCCACTTTAGCCCCCCCAATTTCATGGAGAACCTTTTCCTTGAGTCACTCCCAAACCCACCTCCCATGAGTTGGACTGGAATGCCCCCATGTGAGACAGACCCCACATCCCCTAATTGCACGAAGCAATTTCCCCTGGTCCCCCAAACTTGGTCTCTTTTTCGTCCCCAGCCTAGCCGTGGGTCAGTGCACCGCCTCAGGGGCGCGCCGCTTCGGGGCACACTCTCCAGACCCCTAAATCAGCCGGCGCCCCACGCGCCCTCCCGCAAGCCGCCATTGTTCCCGGCGCCTCCGCGCCCACGCGCTCTCCCTGTCGCCGCCGAGGCCCCCCGAGCTCCTCGGACTTTGGGGATTTCTCTGCGCTCCCGGGGCACGGTGGGCCGCAGCCTGTCCGCCGGGCCGCGCTCCTCCCGCCTCCAGGAGGACGGCCGGGCATTGCCCCCGCTCTCCCCCAAATTTGGGCATTGTCCCCGGGTCTTCCAACGGGCTGGGCGTTGCCCGGGACACCGGGACGGCCCCCGGGGTCTCGCTCACCTTCTGCAACGTCCGTCGCCGCCGCAGCGCGCTCCCTCCCGACCGCGGCTCCTCGTGCGCCCGGGGGCCTCCAGCCCGCGCCCCGCGCCCCGCGCCCCGCGCCCGGCCCGCGCCCGCCTCGGCCGGCCGGGAGCCCAGGGGCGCTGGCGGGGCCGGGCGCTCCTCGGCGCGGCTCTCTCGCCCGCTCTCCGCGGGGGCTCCGCGGGGGCAGCGTCCGCGCGGCCCGAAGCGGGGCGGGGGCGCTGGGCCGGCGGGGCGCCGCGGAGAGGCGCACCCCGCTCGGGCGCCGGCGGCGGCCGCGGGCAGCGGGCTCCGGGGCGGCGGCGCGGGGCGCGGGCCGCGGGCCGATGGCGGCGCCCGGGCGGGCGCGGGTTTCCGCCGCCGGCCGCTGCCCCTCCGAGAGCGCGGGCGGCCGGGCCGCGGGGCGGGGCGGGGCGCGGGGCGCGTGCGGGGTTTCCACTCCGAGAAGACCGCGGCCCGCGCGCCCGAGGAGAGGGTCCCCCGCCCCCAAGCGGCCGCGGCGCCGGCGGCCGAGTCCGAGTCTACGCGAGCCCAAGCACTGAGGACGGGCCCCACGATCCGGATTTTCCGGGTGGGCCCCAAAGGCGAGCTGCTTAGACGCACCCCGGGGCCGCGCCGTGCGGCCGGGGTTCGGGCGCCGCTGCCCGCTCCGCCTGCGCTCCCCGCGGGCGCCCCCCGAGCCCGCCGCCCCCCGCCCGCCCGCCCGCCCGCCCGCGGCCCTTCCCGAGCGCCGCACCTGGCGGCCTCCGCCGCGGCTCCGGCCACCGGCGGCACCGGGGGGCGCTCGGGCTCCGGCGGAGGCTGCAGGGGCTGCGCCTGCACGGACAGGTGACGGCCGCGCGCCTCCCCGGAGCCCGGGGACTTCCTGGCGCCCCCGGACCTCCCGGCGGGGTGTGGGGACCCCCCGACCCGCGCAGAGCCACCTGCCCAGCACCCCGACGGGGGGCCCTGGTCGCAGAGTCCCTTGGTGGGACTCGGGACCCCACCGTAGCTAGGGCCTGGGACGCCGCCCACCCCGCTCCCCGGCGCCCCGGCGCAGGGACCCCTGGACCCCCAGGACCCGAGAGGGGGCCCCCAAACTTTAGAACAGCCATTGGGACTTCTTTTGCGCGCTCCCGCTCCCTGCCCCCAATCCCGTCGCGCCCCGCGCACCCCACGGGCCCCTCCGATCGCCGCCCCCCCCGCGGGCCCCCCAAGCTCGCGCCCCCTCCCCTTGGCTCCTGTTGCCGGGGCGGTCCCGGGGCGGGGCGAGGGCCCCGCGGGCGCCCATTGGCGCGGGCGGGCGGCCAGCGGGGCCCGCGCGGGCGCCGAGCCGCGGGGTGGCGCGGCTATAAGAGCCGGGCGTCGGCGCCCGCAGCTCGCCTGCTCTCCGGCGGAGCTGCGTGAGGCCAGGCCGGCCCCGGCCCCCCCTTCCGGCCGCCCCCGCCGCCTGGCCCACGCCCGCCCGCGCTCGGCCCGCCAGCGCCTCCACCCGGGCTGGCGGCCCCACGCCGACGCCGTCCTCTGCTGCTGCCTCCCGTCTGGGCGCCGTCGGCGGGGCCGCGCTCCGCCGCGCCTGCGGACCCCAGCCGCCTCCTCCGTCTACCTCAGCGCCCGCCCCGCTTCGCCCGAGGAGGCGGTCCCCCCGCAGGCAGTCCGGCTCGCAGGCCGCCGGCGTTGTCACCCCCGCGCCCCCCAGCCCTCCCCCGCGGGCGCGCCGCCCGCCGCGCCCCTCCTCGCTGCGCGCCCCCTCCCCGGCCCGGGCTCGCGACGGCCGAGGGCTCCGTCGGCCCTAACCGAGCAGGGTGCCCGCGCCGGCCGCCTCCGCCCCGCCCCGCCCCGCCGCTGCGCGCCGCCCCGCCCGACGTCGCGCCCTGCCCGCTTCTCGCGCGCCCCGCGCCCTTCCCCGCGCCCTCGCCGCGGCTCCCTCCCGCGCGCCCGCCCGCCGCGGCCCCCGCCCCACGCCCCGGCGCGCGACCCGGGGACCTCGCACGCTTGCGCCCCGCTGCCCCCGCCGCGAGCCGCTCCCGGCCGCGGCCGCCCCGCGCGCCCCTCGGCCCCGCTGCCGCCGCTCGCGCCGCGTCCCTGGTACAACAGCTGACCTCATTTCCCGACACCCTTTCCCCCTAAAAGTACAACATCTGGCCCGCCCCGGCCCCGCAGACAGCCCGTCCTCCCTGAACAGTCAGAAGAGTCCCCCCCAAAACAAGCCATCCCCCCGTTCTGCGCCGTCGCACGATCGGCCCCGCGACGGGCAGAGCGGCGCTGGCAGAGGAGTGTCCGGCAGGAGGGCCCACGCCCGCTGTTCGGTTTGCGACATGCAGCAGGGAGGTGGGCGCAGCTGTGCTGGCTTCCAGGTAAGCGGGCAGGGGGCGCCCCGCCGGGTGGGGGTGTCTGTGGGCGCGAGGGGTGTCTGTGGGCCGAGCGCGCGAGGGCCGGGGTTTGGGGGCGCGCGGGCGCGAGTGCCGTCTGCAGAGGCGACTTCCTGGTCCCGGGGCGCAGGGGGTGCTGCCCGGAGCCTGCGATCTGCGCGCCCTCGCCTCCTCCTGCCCGGGCTGGGGGCGGGGTGCTGCCCCAGGGTGCTGGGTGGCGAGGGGGGCCCTCAGAAACCCACCGTGGTATGTTGGCCTCGCGCCAGCAGGAGCAGGACGGAGGAGAGGGGGTGGGCGGGGCCGGAGAGCGCGAGGGGGGCGGTTGGCAGAGTCCTGCCACATGCCACAGTGGCAGGGGCGCCCCCAAGCTCCCTTTCCCGGTCCCCAGCGCTTTCCGCAAGAAATCTGGGGAGAGGGGCCGCCGGGAGCTTCGGGAGGGCTGGAATGTGCAGCCAGGAGGGCACTGCCCCTTCCCCGTGGGCAGACGGCGGCGTTTCTGCGCGGGGTGGGAGCAGGCCCCTCCCCCCGCCCCTCACCCTGTGCCTAGATGGACGGGGTGGGGGCGCAGGATGAGGCCCCCCTCGCGGCACTTTGCTAGAGGACCGTCCGGGTTGGGGGCGGCAGGAGAGCAGGGGCTGGCTGGAAGGAGGGAGGGGGCGGGAGCAGAGGGGCAGGGGAGTGGTCAGCGGGGAGGGGTGGGGGTAGGGTGGAGCTCGGGCGGGGAGGAGCCGGCTCAGACATAAAAGCAGAGGCACTGACCAGCCAGCGACTGGACATTAGCTTCTCCCGTGAGCGGCCTTCCAGCCTCCTCCTCTCCTCTCCAGTCCAGCCGGCCTCCTGTCCAGCCACAGGTAACCCGCGGCACGCGGGCCCTGCGCCCTCCGGCTCAGCCTGCCCGGCTGCTGGTGGCCTGGGGCCTCAGCCCCTCCGGAGGGACCGCTGCCCGCTGCCTCTCCACAGCCCCCCCCCCCGCCTCTGCGCCCTCACCCCGGCCCCTGCCCTGGCCGCTCCTCACCTGGCGCGCACCTCTGCGTGCTCTGGGCTGGCCTGCCCCACCGCGGCCCGAGCCCCGGTCCCCACGCGGGTGGCCGGCTCGCGGGCCGATGGGGCTGCTGCTCGGCCTTGCTGAGTGCCGGGCCGGCCAAGTTTGTTCTTAGAGTGTGGAACGGGATGGCGTGGGGGCGGGGAGCTGCGGGTCCCGCCGGGCAGGAGGCGGCGAGGAGGGGCATTTTAGAGCCTGCCCCGCCTGGCCACTGTGCCCCGCCGGCAGCAGCAAGCGTCCTCTCGCCCCGCTGTCCGGTCCCAGGCCCCGCAGCAGCCCCGCGGCGCCGGCCGGCCTCAGGCGGAGAGGGGCGCCCAGGGGTGTGGAGCCCGGCAGGCCGTCCGGGCAGCCCCCCAGGCCCAGCTCAGGTGGCATCCCAGCCCCTGGGGCTCACAGGCCGGGCTGTGCTGTCCCTCCAGAGACGGCTGGTACCTGGGCTGCCTGGGTGGGGGGGGCACCCCCTCTGGAGGAGGCAGGGCAGCCTGCCAGGGCTGGGGGAAGCTGAGCCCCCCCCACAGAGCCCCGCCGCCACAGGGACTGCTGAGCCCTCGCGGGCCTGCGGCCACGTGGCCCCTGCCAGGGGGTGTGTCTGAGCGGCCTCTCCCTCCAGGTCAGGGTCCCAGGCCTGGTGTCCAGCGCCCGGGCCACCTGACCTGTCCCCCCAGTGCCCAGGGCGGGGTCCGGTGGCTGGAGAGACTCTGCTGCCCGGGCCCTGCATGCGGGTCAGGCCCAGGGGACTTGGGTGTCACTGAGTGTGTTGGGCTCCCGGGCCCACGGGCGTTGGACTGGGCGGGTCCAGAGAGCGAGGCCCCGGGGGCGTGGGGGGGCTCCCAGGGCACTAACCACTGGCCCCGGCGCTGTTTCTGCTCAGCCACAGACTGGGGGGCGGGAAAGGCAGCGGGTGGGGGAGCTGCGTGGGCAGCAGGAACTCCTGCTGCTTGGGGGGGTGCGGGGGGCAGGCCCTCCTGGCCCCCCTGCTCGGCTGGGCGTGCGGGGGAGGGGGCTGCTCATCTGGAGGCTCGAGCCTGGGTGGGGTCAGCTGCCATCGTGGCCGCGTGGGGGAGTGAGGGGGCCGCTGGCCCCGCCCATGATGTCTCGGGACCCAGGCCCGGGCCAGCGTCCTGGGCGCGGCTGAGCCCCGCACCCCACCTCTGCGGCCCCAGCCCCCACCGGGCGGCCCCTGGGACTGAGGACTGCAGACCCTAGAGGAAGGGCGCGGCCGCTCACCTCCCCTCTCCCGCAGATCCCGATGGGGACCCCGACGAGGAAGCTGGCGCTGGTGCTGCTCTCCTTCTTGGCCCTGGCCTCGTGCTGCTTTGCTGCTCGCCGCCCCAGCGAGACCCTGTGCGGCGGGGAGCTGGTGGACACCCTCCAGTTTGTCTGTGGCGACCGCGGCTTTTACTTCAGTAAGTAGTTGGGGCCGCGGCTCCCGCAGACGGGGGCACGGCCTCAGGACAGGGGTGCAGGGAGGGGCGGGGTGGGCGCAGCCACCATCATGGACTTAAGATTCGGTGGACCTAAGGCCGACAGAAACCAGAGCAGGCCGCTGTGGGGGAGGGCGCTGCCCACCTGAGGTGCAGGACGAGAGACTTGCCCTGGGGACCTGGGGGGGGCTCCACCTGGCTGTCCTGTCTGCCCTGGGGGTGGGGGGACCCAGTGGGAGGGGCCTCCCCCCAGGCCAGGCCTAGCTGGGCGCCCTGCCCAGGCCCACCTGTCCGGCAGCCTCTCCTCCGGCCTCGTCCTCCCCACGGGCCTCAGGGTCCTCACTGGGAGGGGCCCAGCCCCCCAGGGCCAGGCTGGGGGCCGGTGTGGCCTGGGCATGTCAAGAGGGCCACGCCCAGCCCCGCCTCCCGCCTGTGAGGTGGGCACACACTCGGGCACACTCCTGCGCGCCATGCTTCTGGGGCTCCCCTTTCCCTCAGCTGCGCCCCCTCTCCTGCCTTGCTTGGGGGGCCCCGCTTGGTGGGAGGGCGGGAAGGAGGGCCTCTCCTGCCGTTTGGGGGGGCCCCGCGGGGCGCCTGGGGGCGGGGGGAGGGCGGGAGAAGGGAGGCGGGGTTTGTGCCGTCCTCACTCCTCTCCTCCCGTCTTCTCTCTGCCTCCGACTCGCCTGCCGCGGGGCTCGGGCGGGAGGCCGCCCTGGACGTCCAGGGGAGCTGGCCTGGGCTCCGCGGAGGGGGCGCCAGGGGCGGGCGGGGCGCGCGCCCTCCCCGCCGGGTCTCCCTCGGGCACCTGCCCGCACGCCGCGCCGCCCGCCCCCCGTCTGCGGCGCTGGCCGCTGACCGCTGACCACTGACCGCTGACCACTTGCAGGCAGGCCAGCCGGCCGCGTGAGCCGCCGCAGCCGTGGCATCGTGGAGGAGTGTTGCTTCCGCAGCTGCGACCTGGCGCTCCTGGAGACCTACTGCGCCACCCCCGCCAAGTCCGAGAGGGACGTGTCGACCCCTCCGGCCGTGCTCCCGGTAAGCGCCGGCCGGGCAGCGGCGGGGGCGGCCCGGGGCGCCGCCGACCCTGACCCCGGCCGCTCCGCCCACAGGACGACTTCCCCAGATACCCCGTGGGCAAGTTCTTCCAGTATGAGGCCTGGAAGCAGTCGGCCCAGCGCCTCCGCAGGGGCCTGCCTGCGCTGCTGCGCGCCCGTCGTGGCCGCCTGCTCGCCCGGGAGCTGGACGCGCTCAGAGAGGCCCAGCGTCGCCGGCCCCTGACCGCCGCGCCCGCCCCGGAGCCCGCCCACGGGGCCGCCTCGCCCGAGGTGTCCCGCGATCAGTGAGCCAAAGTGACCGCTCGCGCTCCTCCGCCCCTCCCGCCGGGCCGCCCACCAGGCCCACCTCCGCCCTCCCGTGCCGCCCAGCGCCCCCCGCCCCGCCCGACCTCCCCGCGCCGGGCTACCGCCACCGGGCTGCAGACCGCACCGTCCACCGTGCGCCCATTGGCCTCGACCCAAATCGCCCCCAGACTGCAGCCCAAATCAGACAGCCCCTCGGAACTGATTGGCTTTTTAGAAACACCAGAAAAGCTAATTAGCCTCAAAAACACCGAAAAAGTAAGATCGATTGGCTGGAAACACCAAAACCGAATTGGCTTAACGACAATTGGCAAAATAAGATGATTTGGCGCCCCCCCTCCCTTCTCCGCAGGATCTCGGGTCAAATTGGCCTGGACTTGAGTCCCCAAACATCTAGGAGAAGGGCAGGACCCCAATTGGCAGGACACGCATCCCCGCCTCTCAGCCACCTCCCTCCCGGGCCCACGAGACCCGGCGGGGCGCGAAAACCCAGACACGTGCAGGTCTGATTGGCACAGGACCCGCACCCCAAAATCTTACATCTTCACCCCCCAAACAGCCACACACACCTGACACACACGCACCCACACACACACTCACCACACACACTCACATACACAACACACACGCACTCACGCACACACCACACACACACATCACACACACATGCACCCACACACACACTCACACACACCCACACACACACATGCACCCACACACACACACGCACCCACACACACACTCACACACACACCCACACACGCACCCACACACACACTCACACACGCACCCACACACACACTCACGCACCCACACACGCACCCATCCATGCACCCACACACACTCCCCCCCCCCCCCACACACACACGCATGAAAGCCACGGGTGTCGGACGAGACCGCGGAGCCCGCTCCGAGCTCCACCAAGTCCCTGTCCCACTCGAGGTCCCCCCGCCCAGTGCGCCCGCCACCCCTCCCCAGACAGGGAGGCCGCCTACCACCGCGCCCGCGAGGCCCGAGTGTGTCACCTGGAGATGGCTGAGAGGCCGGCGTGTCCTGCCCGGTAGCCCGCCCCCTAGGTGTGCCCCCACAGGAACATCGGGGTCCCCGAGCACACCCAGGGGTCATCTTTGCCAGCCTCCTGGGGCCCCTGCTCAGAGCAGGGGCCCCAGGGGGCCGGCAGGGATGGCGGGGAGTGTGGGAAGTCTGGTGGTTGGAGGGGTGGGTGGGGGCATGGGCCGGGGGCCCTGGGCGGGACGTGCCAGCGAGGGTTGGATGGAGCCTCTGGGAGGAGAAGCCGAGGAGCCGCAGAGCCAAGAACATCATCGGACCCCAAATTCACGTCAATTGTTCTATCTCCCCTCTTTGATTCTCCTGGGGCATTTTTCCTTTTTTTTTTTTCCCTCCTAAGCTTTTTACGCGCTCATATACCAAATTAACGACCCCACCCCGTCACGGCAGCGCCGCGCGCCTGCCCACCCCAATCAGACGTGTGCCTCTGTCCCTGTCGCTTGGGTCAGGTTGAGAGTGGAGCCCCCGGGGCTGTAGCCACAGCGCCCCCGGGGATGAGCGGGCATGGAGAGGGCCGCTGCCCGGCCTGGCCCCCGGACCAGTGGCTGGTCCCGGGGGTTCTGGGGGGCGGAGGGGGGCGCGGGCGGAGGCTCCCCAGGTGTCAGGAGGGTGCTCGGAGGCCACCAGGATGGGGCCCCGGTGGCCGATGCCGCCGGGGGGAAGGGTCACGCTGTGGAGCAGAGGGACCCCATCGGGCTGGAGCAGGTGGCCGCCTTCCGCACACTTGGGGGGTCCTCCCCCCGCCCCTCGGGAACAGCTTGTCCGCCCCTCGGCACCCAGCCTCGCCCCCGGAGCCTGGCTCTGGGGGCGGCTGGGTGAGGTCGGGGAGTCGGGGAGGCCAGGAAGTGTGAGCCCTCGAGCAGGGGAGCTGCCCTGACCAGCGCTGGGCCGCCGGGGCCCGAGGCCACGGTCCGGCAATGCCGGCTCAGCCACCCTCGCGGCGCCCAGGGCTGCGGCGGGGCCCGGGCTGCGGGGAGGTTTACCTCACCCCCACATGTGCCCCCGCGCAGCCCCCCGCACAGCAGCCCCTCGGGCAGTTGCGAGGCCCAGGCTTCCGGGCCCCAGCGGCAGGGCTGGCTTGACACTGGGGGGTGTCCACGCCAGCCCGCCCCACGAGCAGAGGGCCCCTCGGCAGACTCCTGGGGGAGCGAGCCACTCGGACCATTGGAAATGACCAAAGCCCAAATTGTCCCTAGATTGGCCGCGATCCCAAAAGACCCCTCACCCCGAACTGTCCGCCTGCTCAGCCGGACGCCCTCCCCGCGGCGTTGGCTCCGGGGAGGCCCCGGGTCTGCCGACAACGTCCTCTGCCCCAGCAGCAGCTCCCTTGGGTCCCACCACCCGGACCCGGGCCCTGCCTGGCCTCCCGCGCCCTGGCTGTGGCCGCCCACCCGCCTCCTCCATGTGCCCCACGTCTTCATGGGACCCCCTCTTGGGTCCCCTGTGCCATCACCTGGAGACCCCCACGCGCCGAACACCCTTGTCACCCGCCGCTGCCCAGCGCAGCGCCGTGTTCGCCTCAACGCAGCCCTAACGTGCTGAGTTCCTGGCAAGACCCCGGCTGGGGCTTGTCTCTAACCTTTATCGCTCGCAAACCCAATAAAGCATTCAAATTCACCTCGCCGTGTCCTCTGCTCTGTGCTGGGGTGCGGGGGTGGGTCTGGGCTCCTGGGGGGGCAGGCCCCGCACCCTCTGCCCTGTGCCCCTCGGCCTGCGCCCCGCGCAGCGCCCGCGGTAGAGAGACCGAGCCGGGGCCCGGCCATGAGACGCGAGGGCCCGTGGGGGCCGGGCGGGGAGGCTCCCGTGGGTTGGGCGCTGGCTCTCGCCGGGCCTGGGGACACGGCTGGGGACACGGCTGGGCCTCTGGCCTTGGCCTCCAGTAGCCCATGCAGACATGCCCTGCCGGGAAGGGGGTCCCAGCGCCTGCCCTGGGGCTACCCTTGTCCAGCCGCAGTCCTGACCTCTGGCCTCAGGGCCCTGTGTCTGTAACATTCCCATCCTACCCCAGGCCTGGGCCAGCAGGGACCCCACTGTGGGGGCTGTGGGGCAGCCTTCCGCACGTGGGCCCCAGCCCGCGTGGGGGGCACAGGTGTGGGGAGCCCTTGCACCCCAAGTCCGCTCCCCTGCTCCTAGCGCTGGGTGCTGGGCTGTAGCTCGCTGCCCCCCCAGTGAGAACTGGTCTGAGCAGGCCCGGGCGGCCGAGGCGGGTCTCTCTCCGAGATGAGGAGGGCTGGGGGGTCAGGAGGCACAAGTTGGTGGGGGGCTTCCCAGGACCGCCCTGTGCCCAGGAGCCCTGCCCCACCTCCCCGGAGCCAGGGGCTGAGACAGGTGAGGCCAGTGGGTCCCCATGAGACCCCTGACACTTCTGGGGGTGGATGCAGACCCCGCTGGGGACCCGCTGAGACCTGGAGCTTCCGTGCCACCCGCCAGGCAGGACCCGCCGAGCCCTGCAGCCCTGCCCAGTCCTCACCAGGACCCTCGGGTGCGGGGCGCAGGGCCTGTGCCACCAGTGGGCTTGGACCTCATCATCCTAAACCCGCCTCTCCCCAGCCATGCGGGCGTCTCTGCGGCCCAGGCCCCTTCCTCTCCGGGGTCCCGTCAGCACCCTGCGGCCTCTCCGTTCAGGCTGCCCAGCCCACCCCGCCTGTACCCTGTTCCCCTGGACTCCCTGCTTCCCAAGAGCCCCACCAACCCCCCCACCCCGGCAGCCCCTCCCTGACCGGACCCCACAGTGGGCCCCGCTCTGTGTGTCCTGTGTGACGGGGGCACAGCCAGGGGCGCCTGCGGCCAGGAGGGCGCCTGCCGGGGCCTGGGAGAGAGGGGTCCTTGGACGCCCATCTGGGTCTTCCGGCCCCAGGTGTGGCGCAGGCTCTGCGGGGGGTGAGGCCCCGTTCGGCCAGGCCCCGGCCCGAGGTGGGCAGAGCAGTGGCTGCCCAGCACCCCGCAGACCCCCAGTAGGCTCCTAAATTTAGGGCCGGTCCCCTGACCCCTGGGGACAAGCAGAGGTCTCGTGGGGACGAGGAAGGCTGCCCACCCCACGGGCCGGCGGGCGCGTGCACGCTCCCTGGGCCTTGGCACCCCGTCCCGCCGGGCCTGCTCCCTGCACACCCCGGCCCTCACCACCCTGGACACAGAACCGCGCCCGCTCACGCCTCCCGGCCCGCCTGCCCTCATGTGCTGAGCAGAGAGAAGCCGGGCCGAGCGGCCGCTGCCATCCCACAACGGTCTTCACCGGCCTCACCCTCGAGCGGCACAATGACGCCTGAGTCCTGCAGGCCCCGACCGTCACGCCTCGTGGCCACGAGCCCACGCCACAGGCTCCTCTGACCCTCCAGCCCATCCAGGTGGTCGACAAGGCCCGAGATGCCCCCAAACGCCCGGCCCGCAGCGCCAGCCCCAGCCTCGCCCCACCTGCTGCTGTCCCTGCAGGGCTGCCTAAGGCTGCCAGACCGCAGTGTCCTTGCTCTCCTGGGTCCTCAGGCGCCCCCTCCGGTCCTGACACCTGCCCCGTCCCTGGCCACACAGGGTCCCCTCCACGGACAGGGCTCCCCTCCGCCCGCATGCCCCGTGGCGGCTCCACCGAGGGCCCTGGCCGGCGCCAGCACTGCTGCCCGGGGGAGGCCTGGGGAGTCCTCGGCCAGCCCCGGGCTCATCCACCCTCCCTGTCCTTCAAGGGAGACGCCCCACGTGTCCTGAGCCTCCTGGCCTTGGAGCCCTGGCCATCCCTCCCTCGGGCCTCACCGCCTCAACCGCCCCCGGGGTCCCTGGCCAGGCCCTGCCCGGCATGGCGTGCTCAGGTGTGGCCGGCAGGGGCGGGGCCGGCACCACCACCTGCTCCTGGCTCACCTGCCCAGCCCCCGCCCGCCCGCCTGTGGGCGCTGCCCCCGCCACCCCCGCCCGGCCAGCCAGCCAGCCCTCCACGGCCAGAAACCGAGGAGAACATGCCTGTTTATGCCAGCTACGCCGAGCAAAACAGTTTGTGGTTTGTGACCCAAATTTTTTGCCTTTTTTTCAGAACATAACAAAGCTCAAGACAACTCCCTCCCCCCGCCCCCCAGGGCAGACAGAAAGGATCTGTTTACGCTGGCCAGCACGGCCCTCTCCCCAGGCCCCGGCCAGCCGGCCCGCAAAGGGGTGCTGGCCTGGCCCGGGGCCGCCAAAGAGACATGGCGCTGCTGACCAGGAGCACGCGGGGGCCGGGGGTTCCTGGGGTGCCTCTCTGTGGTTGAGTGAACAGGAGACGGGAGAGATGACACCCCTGTTGCTCCCCCAAAAGGAGCCCCTCAGCCCCCTGCAGGCAGATACACAGGTGCCAACCGAGGCCCCTCTGCACGTGCCTGCCCCCTCCGCGCTGTAAGGCCAGGCCCGGGGCCCCGCTCGGCACAGCCACGCCCGCGAGGGTCCCACTCCGAGCAGGTGCAGCCCCGGCCACCCCGTGGGAGTGACCCACCGGGCAGCAGGGCCAGCCGGGCCGAGGTGCCCAGCCAGGAGGACGGCCCGGTCCCGCTCCTGCCCGCCGTGCCCTGGGTGTGGGATGCCCTCTGACTCCTGGGCGTGCCCAGAGCCCTGGCTCAGCCTGGCTCCCTTCTTTACCCCTTCCTCGGCCTTCACCCCCCTGCTCCCCGTCCCGGCATGACCCGTCAGCCCCCTTCTCCCTTGGTCCTGAGCTGGCTCCAGCCCCCCACTCCGGGTCTGGGAACCAGGCCTGTGAAGAAGGAGCCGCAGGGGCTGTGGGTGGGCGATCCCGCAAGTTCCCGCTGAGGGAGGCAGCCTCAGGGAAGCCACCCAGACGGGTACCTCCTGCGGCTCGGGGGCACGCGGGGGTCCTGGACGCGTGGCAGGCAGGGGATCAGCAGGGGCGTCTGGGGAGGACCTGCTGCTCCATGGGAGCCAAGGGGACAGTGGTCAGGGGTAGATGGCGGGGTGGGGCAGCACTCTCGGGACCTGGAACCGAACTTGACCTTGAGGAGCTCTGGGCAGCAGGGAAGGCCTTCCAGGGATAGTGGCCACTCCGGGCCCCTGGGGAGCACTGACCTGACCCCGGGAGGGGCTGGAGCCTGAGGTGAGGGGTGAGCCGGTGGGGGTGGGTGGGGGCAGAACTGGGAGTGGGGCCCAGCATACCACACAAGTGCTCCCCACCCCTCCCCCAGGCCTGCAG